AGGAAGAGCAGCGTAGCAGCAACAGTTGGAAGTAAGGCAGGGTGAGTCGTGTTAATGAGACCTGCTGCTTCTTTGCTTCTTCGCCTCGATGTTAGAGTAGCACGACTTACTGTTAGTGGTATCAACATACGAGATAGAGGAGAAGGACGTGAAAAACTCAGAAAGAAAAGAAAATAATTTCATGAACAAAAAAGTTCCAAACTTAACTGAAATATGTAAGCGAATATGCTAGCGGCGAAGACGCGTAAGGAGAACCTCAAACCTCCCCGCCTCGACCGGATGATGTGATCGGAGCCAACCAGCTTGACTTCGACCTCCGATGCCCCCGTGTGGGAATGGGAAATAAGAAAGACCCCTAGAAGCAGGAGAGATTCAACTACGACAGGAACGAAAACGGACGCGAATGTAGCCCTCATTTATCAAATTATTTTTCAAATTCTTCATTAAATTGTTTTACAGTCTACAAAATCCTTCATTCCGTTCTATCCCAGCCTCTCTTTCTCATCCCTCTTTTCCATTTTTTTAGCAGGTTGGGAGACGCTCTCTCCCCTGTCGCTTTGGCTGTGCTGTCGTCTCCGTGGCCAGGGGGGAAAAGCGCCGCCGCCACAAAATCTTGCAAAAGTAATTGTAATTGTGCCTGAAATTTAGCAATTACTGACGCTAGAAAGTAATAAAGTTACAATTACAATTCCTTTTAGCCAAAAGTAATTATTACAATTACAAATTACCAGGAAAAGTAATTTAGTTACAGTAATTTAATTACTGTAATTGGATTACTACCCAAGTATGCAATGCAGGTTCTTCGTCACCATCGAACTGAAAGTGATCGAGAAAGAACTCACACTGAACAATTCTTCGCGTGCCGTTGACTTGCGAAAGTGACGGTACCAATACAAGTTCATTTCCGCCATTGATATGGCAAAACCTAAACTGCTTTACGAACCACCAGATGGCACTGAATTTCTGGAAAGGTCTATTGCCTTAATCCATTGGATATGCCGTAGCTCGTCGCTTGGGAAAGAGAATATATGTGGGCCTTCGCTCCTCCGGTACAATTTCCCCGACAGCACGGCACACAACAGTTATTCGCGGCGAGAAGTTTGGGTATCGCCGCTCGTGGAATTTTTTCACAACCCCAGAATAAGGACTTCAGCTTCTGCTGGTGCAAGCACGAGCAATGCCAAGCTTCTATGCACTATAAAAAATAAAATATAGCCGTGTAGGTAGCACAGTGAAAAAAAAACAGAAGCGCCCTTAGCGTGGTGTTGCCTTAGCAGGCTAACCTCTTTTGCATTTTTTTTCCCGAATATAAAAAAAAAAGCTTTTAATTGCGAATAAAGCATTGATCCTCACGTTGGCAAACAAGATTCCGGTCGCCGACTGACGCAGCAGAAACGCCCCCAGGCGTCTTGTCTCCGCATTTCAGACGGCTTTCTACGCTGTCCGATTGCGCACGCACCTAGTGTCTGGCTTCCCTTCGCTTGCGAGCCGCCTGCCGTCTGATGAAGTTACATCGTCCCGATGCGTAATCGTTTTCCTTTCTTTTTTGCTTTCAATTAGTCCTCAAAGGGTACGGAAACAAAAATTGAAATATTCAAATTTCGTTCGGAAAGGAGTCGAGCACGACGGATAATAACCGTAAATGATAATCGTCTGTCTGTATTTTGAACGACTGGGTATATTTTTCGTTCCAAACGGTGCACTCAAGCAAGCGCTCGAAGAGAAGCGAACGAAGAACGCGATGCGTCATGGGATATCCGGCGCAAACAAAAACAGAAAAAAAAAAAAGAAAGAAAAAGATTCCCCGCATTTGTGACGTACAAGGCTGGCGTGGCTATGAGCTTTGCCGTTGGTGGCGTTGTCAGCGTTGTGGTGGTGTCAATAACGCCAACGCGTTACAACCGAGCCGTTCGAAGTACCCGTGGGATGACGAGCGTGCGGTTGGCCCAAGGAGCACCTAGCTCCCACAGCACTGTCAGCTTAGGGGTGAACGGGGTGGGAAAACCAACTTTTGTCAAAATTTTGAGTGAGGGGGAAAATGGCTGCGTCCGGGTACACAAACGAGGGTTTGGTACAATGCGCAATTTGTGAGTTGAGGAAAGCTATGAAGGAAAATGTTGAATTACAAAGAGCGGCGCACCTCCGATGGAACTTGCCCCAACATTGCTAGATTGTCTCCCAAATAGGCTCCACATGCATCCACCAGGTACACATTGAAAGATCGTTTAATTAACTTTAAAATTAGTTTTCTTGTGCCTTTCAACGAAAGACTGGTATCTTCGAGGTTATGCTACAACCTTCAACACATTGAAGCTAAAGAATGAGCGCTGGAGTTTGGTTTCCGTACCTCTTTAAAACTTAAAACCAACAGCAAACTTTCATCTTCGCCGCTTAGACCGAGCGCAACGGGGATGTTGGCGGTGCGTAAAGGAAAAAAAGTATTTCTCCGGGCCACCCGAGGTGCTTCGTCAGCATATCGTCGCGGATGCTCGGCGGTGAAGACCCTCTGCCGGCGCTCCACGCTTGGCCTAGGAGCGGTGACGTAGTTGACGTAACAGAACGAAGCGCGCAAAATTTAAAACGCAACCCTAAAGGGAAAAAAAAAAAAAAACAGTGCCTCGTTCTCTTGGCACCCGGGCAAACCGTGCGCGCGACGTTTCCAGTTAGAGCGTCTGCTAGCTGTGACCTCGACGGACGCCGGTTTGAACACCGCGCCGGAGACCTGCAGGACAAGCTCCGCCCGCGAAGTCCTCCACTCTTTGCACCTAGGAGCAAAAACGCTGGAGCAGAGGAGGTTACAGCCTATACACGTTTGCAAGTCCGGTCTCAGGGCGCCGCCATCTTCCTCAGTGGGGTGCGCTCTCGGGAGCGGCCATAATCCGATTACGACGCCTTAGCAAGGCTTCGTAATCGGATTATGACTGGTCCAAGCGCACCCCAGACCGGCAAGATGGCAGCGCCCTGAAGCCGGACTTGCAAACGTGTATAGGCAAACGTGCGGTGTATACACAAACAGCGAGTTTTATGGCTCTCGTTCTGTATTATGAGAGCACGTCATAATGAACAATATTTTCAGGTCTAAGGGTCTTCTCATGCGAAAGTTAATACGCCATTTTATTTTTAGCTTTTGTTGTTGAAACATTCTTTATTTCTCCACACGCCTGGCTTCCCATGTCAGCATAGTAAAACACGCTTCTGTGCACTACGCATTTAGGGAAATTATGTAAATTCTTGGATAAGGGTGTATTCACTGCCGGCCATAGCTGTGTGCGCGAGTGCTGTGCGTATGCCAATATCGAGCTTCCAGTTTTTTTCGTGCATTCTACACCATCAAAACTGCCGGTCTTTGCAGTCTTTTAATGTGAGCTGGTTTTGAGCTTGCACTCTGAACAGCGCCCTCAAATATTGCGTCCAGGGCACACACCAGACAACTCGGAACAAAATAGTGGACGACTTTACATTCGTGAAAACACCCTAGACAGCAAACTGACAACAACGCGTTATCCCGCAGGGCGACGACCCCAGGACTGCGACACCGGAGAGGTGTACAAGAGGCGCGTGAGCAGCAGTTGCGGCGAGCGAGACTGCCGGCTCCGCAATCTCCCGCATTCAGGCTGGTGCACGAGAGACAGCGTCAGCCGGTGCTTCTGCGCCTCTGGTCTCTACCGAAACTACGACGGCAGTTGCGTGGTTCGGGAACGCTGCGGAACGTTCGAGAAGTGAAGTTGCAAAGACACGCATCTACACCTAGTCTTACCAGTGTGTGTAGAAAATACAGTTGGGTGCCAGTCTGGTAACAGTGCGCATACCAGCACCAATATGGCTGCGTCCAAGTACCGTACTCGCAAAGCATTCTTCGAAATACAGTCCCACTGCGGTGGTACCAGCACATCTCTCTGGCGTAACTCCAAAGCGATGGCACTGGCAGTCCAATAGTGTACGTGCGGATTCTTTTCTTTCAAAAGAAAGTTTCAAAGTTCAAACAGGAAATACTAATTTGGAACAAAACATTTTGAGAGTCACTCGATGCTGGGAAAGTGGCACCATTGCCTTTCCTACCTGCTATAATGACATAAACAGATACTAACAGACAGATAATTGAAACCTCGCAAGGCGATTGGCTTATCAGTCTTTCTTGCCATGGCAATCGCCATTCTGGTCCTTTTAAGTTTTCGAAGCTTCGAAATGGTCTTTCTAAACCAGTCGCGCCAAGATTACCATGGGACGTCAACTTTCTGAAAGCACTCCTTGCCAAAATACGGGTCTCTGGCGCTGTGTGTGCTATCAACTTATCAAGAATGCTTATCTCCACAGATCCCTTACAATATTGTTTTCCTTGTAAACTTCAAGACGGGTAAAGCAGCCCTTCCTCTTTATAAAGCCAGGTTGCTTTATAAAGACATTTCTTTTATACTATACTCATTTGGATCGACTCACCAAGAATGAAAGAAGTCGGAGAAATTGCTTATTCCATGGACCAAAATGGCGACCATATACCACTACTTTCTACCACTTTGAGGCTTCAAACATCAAAAAAGGCTTCAGCATCAACAATCTTTGTTTTGTTATGTGTACATCTATATGGTAGATATCACAGTGTCAAACAACCAAGGTAGGAATCACCTAATAAAGCTGATGCCATATTTTGAAGATCTCTCTTGACTACAGCATTTCTATTGTTGCCTTTGTGGGAGCCGCAGTGACCCATTTCTATGTTTCGCGTGGTTCAAAAACCGTTGCGACATACTTCTAGAATAAGTTAGAGACCCCTACAGTACAGGATTCCCAGCACAAACACAGAGATATCGAAAATCTACAATGTCCAATGCCTACACTCTGGGCAATGCATCAGTTTCAGAGATGTTGGAAGTGTTTGGGAGAAGGGGTGACAGGAGGGAGGAGGGGGATCTTCCTTTTTTTTTCCCCAAATTGTTTTGTAAGGGGTGGCGGTGGCTGCCCCTCTTGCTTCTTTTGCTCTGACGCCACTGACCAGACTAAAGTTTTACAATGTTGTGGAGATAACTTTAATGTCAATGTTTTGGTGAGAGAAGTAAACGGTACAGAGATGAATGCAATAATGGCAGCGACTTTGATGATGGGTCGATCAGTTCCAGCCAAATGAAGGTGGATCCCCTTGATCAGGTGGCATACCTGGGGGAACAAAAATCATGAAAAAATAAACAAACCAAATGGTTGCATGGGCGACGTATTCGGCACACAAGGTACTGCTACTGCTCCGTTCCACTTTAAAGGGCAACTCCGACTCATTATTCTTTAAAAAAAAAACAATGCAGTACTTTTCAGTATCACCTAGGACAAAGGTCTCAAACACGCAGCCCGCGACTCTCTGGGATGCAACTCGCAAGCATCCCACGGCTGCAAGCCCCTGTTCCCATGCCTCAAGCGCTACATGCGCCGTAAATTATAGTTTCATATCGTCGATTCATTACTGCTTGAAAAAGAACTCTGCTCATATAAAATGTTCACAGATATTGAGCTATTCTCTTTTCTTTTAGACTGAGTATTGCTTCGTCTAAATATTTGCTTCTCAGCCCTTCCTCGAGTAAATCAACCATAACAACAATACCACTACAAGGCTACAAAAGCCAGCTCTTTGCTTAAGGAGGCAGCTCGGCTGCACAAACCCCCACCCAGCAGGAGCGATTGCCAAAGATAAAGCAGAAGGAATGATGGCTAAGTCGGCTAGAGCACACCAGCTCGGAGCGTGTGGAACAAAAGCTCGCGCTGCAGAACCCAGAGACCCTGGGTTCAATCCCCACCCCTGCTTGTTTCGATCTTAATGAGCATCTTACCGGTATGCACTTGTGTATCACTACCCAAGTGAAAATTTAAAGTGGTTGTACAAGTGGTCCCACTTTACTTCTAACTGGTGCCACTTTACCTCAAACTGGTCCCACTTTATCTCTAACTGGTCCCACTTTCACTCTAACTGTTCCCAGTTAACTTCTAAATGGTCCACTTTGGTTCAGGTGTCCCACTTGCTATCTCCCACTTTAAGCCAAGTAGTCCCACTTGTAATTTAGAGTGGCTACACCTTTTTCTTTTTTTCTTTTCACTGAACAGGTGTAGTTTGCACTGGAGCCCTATATAGTTTGCTCTACATATTAAAACAGATTTGTAAAATGTATGATTACTTTAAATTAAGCCATGTTTTGATTAAGGCCGTCTGGAGAAAATGTTGTACCCATTTTGTTTTTGATAGCTGCATGGTGCATGTTAAAGACCCCAGGTTAGCAGTTGTACTGCACTGGCTAAGTCACTCATCTACAGCCGAAACACAAGAAAGAGAGAGGGAGAGAAGTTTTTCCAAGACCCCAACACCAACAAACAACCGCCGAACAAGGACCGCATAGAGCTCAGCGTCTCAATTTAGAGAAGATTACTGGAGTGCCTCCCACATGGAAGAATGTCAGAGCTCCAAACAATCAATACGCAAAGACAGCAATCGAGTTCAGAAGGTCATCCGAACGCATCAAGCAATCGTATTGATGGCGTGTGCAAACTACAGAGGGCGCTTCTCTAGCTATCATCATCATCGTTTGTGATGTCACGAATAGAACAGACTGGGACAGACCGCGCACATTCTGGATCCCTCCGCTCAACAGCTCGCTACATGCGCTGTTGGGGTAACGCATGGCAAAGCCTGTTTTCTCGCGTTGTGTTTATTTGGTGAAGTGATATTTGCAGTACAACATTTTACCAAAGCTTGAAACTGGCACGCGTAGTCGTGCTAACAAACACTTTTGGCGCTGAGGTGTTGAAGCACTAAGATGGTGGAATGCTGTTCTCTACCCCAGTACAAGAAGCTGGATGATTAAAATCAGCACTTTACCCCACTGCAACACCTACCACGCCGAATAGCACGTATTTTTTTATTGTGATTCTGACAAAATAAAACTGAGAAAGGGATATCTCATCAAATTCAAAATAGAAAAGTGAAATTCGAGAACCTCTCGCATGTGTAGTAAACACTTCAATGAAAGCGGCTTTGTCCTGTTGGTTCCAATGTATTCTGGGACAGCTGGTCTCTTATTAGTTCCAAGTTGGCTCCTTCTTGAATTGTGTAAACCAGTAAACAAACTTTTCCTCAAAATAACTGGCAGGAAGAAGCGGTGGCTGGCTTCCGGAGTCATTTCAATTAATTCCCTGCATATTCATCTGGTCAACGCAAAACGTGCGAGACCCCCTTTTGATTGAAGTCTTAAATCTAGCAAGTCAGTGAGACTTGAGTGTCCTAAAAAATGAGGTATACACCCGCCATGAATTACCTACTAGCATTTATATGTTTGATTGACACTTCAGCATCCCAAAAAATGAGGCATACACCTGCTGTGAATTACAACCGTTTGTATGTTCAACTTTGCTGACCCAAATGTACATAATGTGTGATGCACTTGTCAGTAAGCGATTTTAAATTTGTAAACAATTCTTAGTAAAATTGGATAGAACAAACTAATCAATTGTGTGAATTCGTCAAGCCCTGTCTGACAATTCCGAAAATTCAAAAATTTGTGCCTTTCTTTTGAGCAGAAGTCGCAGTGTGACAAACCTTTTTGGAATGTATTGGGTGCAGGAGAAGCTAAGCGTCAGTTGCTCTCAAGCTTTTGTTCGTCAGCCAGGGACGGCGCCAGGCTTTCCAGATTGGGGGGGCAGTGGGGAGGCGTGGTACATTTTCGGGGGGGGGTTTATGAGAAATTGGGAGGTCGGTTCTGACAGCTAAAATAAGCGCTGGCGGCCAGTAAACCTGGAAGTGAGATGGAGGTTGTTAATGTCGTGCAGCTACCCGAAAATGGTGTAAACAAAAGGGAACATCGCTTTGCCGCCATCTCCGGTATAGTTTCACATGTTTAAAAGGCGAATAATAAAAAAAGTAATGGTCGATGGCTGCGTAGAATAGTCACTGCCGACGACGTAAAACTGGAAGAACCAAGCACTTCGAAATATTTTATAACATTTTTTATCACCTCAGTTTATTCCTTTGGTTGACAGTGTACTTACAACCTGAATTACATATCACATGTTCGTTATTTACAAATATTTACATTCTGAAATTTCACATTAAGGCACGTTCGCACTCGTCCCCCAAAGTTCAGTGAAGTCGAATCCGTCTGTTGTGATGGGCAGCATCGAAGGCGTAGACAACGTCACCTAGTTCCAGGCTTTTCGCGGTGGTCTTCTCCACGGCGAGAACCGCCAAGTTCGCGAGTCTCTTGTCAGACATTCTGTTTCGCAGATACGTCTTCAGCTGACGAAGGCACGAGAATGTGCGTTCGCAGGCGGTGCTGGAGGCAGGGATAGTCAACGCTATAACACAAAGACGGTACGATTCCTGAAAGGCAATTTTAAATTTGCCTAAAAATTTGGCAAACAATATTGTGGTGGTCACACTGCACCCATTCTCTTTTTCGTATCGCTGCAAAACCCTGGGAAGCAGTTTCATCTCGGCCACAAGTGCATCCCAGTCGGACGAGTAGTGCTTTGCTAGCGGTTCGACCAGCGAGATGTCCATGAAGCGATCGTGTTGAGGTTGAAAACAGTTCAGGCCCTTCAGGATGAGATCACTGTCGCTAAATCTTCGCTTAAGTTTTTCGCACATTCTATCCAAGATGGGAAGGAACATGTGCACACGGCAGTCGTTTTCAGTGGAGTAGCTGGGGTCTTCTCCGGGCAGCTGGGCTTCTGTTAGATATTTTGCAAGGTGCGCCGGCAGATGGTTGATTCTTCGCTCTTCTACGAGACGAATTCTGTTTGTCTCTGCAACGCTTAAGCACTGGCTCCAAATGCTTGAGAAACCCTCTGACGTCCTTAGGCATCTAAATCGCTCAAGTACCGCACTGACCATCATGGAGGCATGAGTAAGGTCACAGTTCTTGTTCTGCAGGTAATCTGAAAGAATCTGCAGCTCACCCAAAACCTCACTAAAGATACACAGATGTGAAACAAACGTGAAGTTCAGCTAATGCGAAATTCCGCGTGCTTCTGCTGATCTTGATCTTCTGCGGTCGGCGATCTTTGCGAGTGTGACAATTATTGCAGGAAGCGCGTGTAGGACGGCTTTGCATGCGTTAACTTGGCATGTCCATCTTGTCTCGCTTACTCCTTTCAGTTCGATCGTTGTGCCGCACACCTGCTTTTGAACTGTGATGAACAGCGCATGTGTGGAAGACCCTCCCAAAAAGACATACAACATCTCTATTAAAGAGAAAAAAAAAAAGGTCCTTGCAGAATCAAAGCTCTTGCAGGCATCGACAATAACCAAATTCAGCCGGTGGTTGAAGCAATGGAGATACAGGGCTTGAGGTACTTCTAACTTGAGAAGGGCTTGAACACCTTTGCTCTTGCCACTCATTACGCTTGCACCGTCATAGGCTTGTGCGATGCAGTTCTCAAGATGAATTCCACATCTGGAAAGCGTTTCCTTCATGTAGCTCAGGAGAGAGGCAGCGTCTAGCATTTTGGCACTTCTAAACCCAAGAAATCTTTCGTAGACGGATCCGTTCAGGAAATACCGGACTACCACAGAGAGCTGTTCCGTTTTGCTGATATCTCTAGATTCGTCCACTATAAGCGCAAAGCACTGAGCGCTGTCCACCTCGGTCTTGAAACGACGCAAAACCATATCTGACATTGCTGAGAGTATCTCATCCTGAACGGAATGGTGAGTATATTTCGCGTTGGCAGGGCCATTTTCCAGCTTTTTTAGTACAATGGCATCGCTTTCCGCTACAAGCTGAAGGAGCTCAAGAAAATTTCCTTTGTTTTCGCTTGAGGCTGACTCATCGTCCACTCTCTTGGCAATCCCCTGTGTTGCAGAAAACCTCAGCACGTCAGCTATCAAAGAGATATAGTGGCGGTTTTCTCTTACCTCTTTCAAATACGCCTCGCTGAGGTGCACGGCGACTGAATTTTCGGCGCCCTTTTCTTTCATCTGCTTGAAGGATGCCCATGAGGCCTGGCACAACTTGTGCGCCACACTGTTCGAATGGAGTCGCAGTCCGCCGTCCTTTTGAAGCGCTCTCTTCCAGTTCCGACAGCCCTCGGTCACAAACACAGCACTTCCACTCCTCTGTTCATTGCCAGTTGAAAACATCTGGCAGGCGAAACAGAATGCCGAGTTCGAAGTCACGCTG